GCTCTCCTTTAAAATTTTATGCATACATGTATTAGGTAGGAGAGGTTAAGGTTAAAGAAGATAAAAAATATCCCTCCTAAATTTTTTCAGGCCTCGTCCCTGAATGGGTGAATGAACGTTGCCAAACCGCGCGCTAAAAGCAAAAGGAGATTCAGATCCGTCGTAGCCACACGCATGCAGAACGTGTGGCCATAATTAACGTCGCGGGGTGGCGACACGTTAGGAGCTGATGATGGCGTGGGTGCCAAAACCATGGTCTGTCATCCAGTAACCGAGCCACAAAACAACAGGGAAAAACGGGGCTTAATCTAGACTAGACTAACTACTACTAGGGGCCTCGCCCTTGGGCTGGGCGTCACACCCCGGCGGTGGACGGGCGGCTTTTTGCACTGTGCGAGTGCGACGCACCATGCACGGCGCGGCATGCCGTCTCTGGCTGTGTGCGAGTCGATAGAGAGAAAAACCAGCCGAAGTGCCGAACCGAGGACGAGGAGCAATGCAAGAAAGGAAGAAACGGCGAGCGCGACGGGAGAGAGAAAAGAGGGAAGGTACACGGGGCGGACGGGGGGCATAGTGCGGTGTGCAGCTGCCGCTCTCGAGTTCGCCTACGTACGGGAAAAGGGGAAAAGGAGGGGGACGGAGGCGGAGGCTGCAGCAGGAGCAGGGCAGCGGCTGCTTCGTGAAGCGCAACATCATGATAGGCTGTCGCGGGCAGAGCGAGCACGGCACGCGCTCCCTCGTCCCTCTCTCTCCCTCACCTCCAGGCTCCAGACGTCCGGCAGTCCCTCCCCCTCCTCGCCTCAAAAGAACCGATCGAGCCCCCTCGCCTCGGGCTACCTCCGTCTACGACTAGAGGAGACGGGTCCATACTGCTGGGCCGGGGGCCGTCATCATGAGCTTAGACCATGCAGTGCAGGCGAGTGAACACGGCAGCTACACGGCTACGTGCTCGCCTCGCCTCCTATGCTCGCATAGTCGCATGCCACACTGACGTCTTGTTTCATTGTTTGCATTGCCTGTTGGAAACCGTCCTCCCAGCCCTACCGTACTACGGGTATAGTCTTTGACTTTATTTCGCTCTACGCTACGGCTACCGGCTACTACGCTACGCACGCCCATCATCGGCTTCGTATGCACAGTAGCCAATGCTATACTGCGTCCTTCCTAATGCTACATCCCTAATCTTAAAACAGTGAAATGCCAGCTAACGATGCGTGTGCTCGGTCGGGTCCAGTTCCAGCCTAGATAGAGATGGAGGTAGACGGAGACGGGCCCCCGAGGCCTCAGCGATCCGCGACACAGGTGAGGCCGCGCTTGCAGAGCCTGCCGTTGCCCGTGGGCGCATGCAGATGCAGGCAGCCAATCCACCGGAGAAGCCGTCTGCAAATGGAAACACACTAGGCGCATAGCAAACCACTACGTACTACGCACGCACGGCTGACGCCCATGCCACGCTCATGCATGCCGTCAAAGTGGAACCCCCACGACACCCGACGAGCCGCCCACCGACCCGGGCCGACGCCGAGGCCGGACCAACGACGCAGGATGCTAGCCGCGCCTCTCGCTTTGCGACGTCTGCCTGCTGTCACGCGCGGCGCGGCACACGCGTCATCGGGGCCATGCCATGCTCCAAAGCGCCGGGCCGGCCGGCTATGTTCGACTTATCGCTGCTGCGGCTGATTCGTATGACTGATTTGTTATGAGAGAAAAATACTATTTCATGACTAAAATAGTAGAGTGATTTTAGCTTATAAGCTAAACGAACAGAGCCAAAGTTGCTGGCCGCTGCTGGTGCTAGGCGCCTTTCGTTGGGGCCTTCTTGAGGGTCGCCGCGAGCGTGCGCAAAAGAGATCTCTCGGCTCGGCCTCGCCTTAAAGAAACGGTAGCGGCACAGGGCGTGGGCATCAGACACCAGGAGAGGAGGGAGGGCGCATGAAAGGCGAGGTAGCTTTATCAGAGGCATCAGGCATGCATGCCGATGCCGGTGTTTTTCTCTTGATCGGAGATGATTAAGGTCTTGACGTGCCTGGTTTCCTGCTTAACTGAAAAGGCGAGTTAGCTTTATTAGCCTGAGCTTATTTTCAGCGACACACCCACCTTTCCCGATCTTGTTCCATGCCCGTACCCTTTGCATCGCCTACTAGCTCTTTCTTCTTTAGAGGGAATATCCTTTGCATTGGTTGTGCAACTTTGCTTTGTCTCTCGGTGGCCCTCGTTCGCTTGTCTTATAATCCGTACTTTTCAGCTTGTTTTTTCAGTCGGAATAGTATTTTTCTCTCACAACAAATCAACCGGAACAGTGTTTCAGCTTGTTTTTTCAACGAAGCGACCGGAGCCAAATATCAATAGTCAATAAAGTACTATTTTGTATGGACCGAACATAAGCTTAGCTGCTGGCTTGGGATACCTCGACTTAACGTGGGTGGATGCTCAAATCTTTATCATTTTATTTTATCAAAAAATAAGAAAAATAATATTAAATGGAGGAATGACTAGAAATTATATTCCCATTTTTCATTGTCGGGTCGGGCAGCCTAGCAACGTTAGGGCCGGACCAGGCCGGTTCCAGGCCCATGGTTTCAAGACCCAGATGCGGCCCGGCCCTGGGTTTAAACTCATCTTGTCTACTCCCTCTATCCCTAAATATCTGTCGTTTTCGTTTCCTGATAAACAACTTTGACTAAATATATATTAAAAAATATTAATATTTATGATCAGTAATTAGTATTATTGAAAATATCTTTGAATCTAGTTTTTTAATAAATTTATTTGAGGATACAAATGTTGCAATCATTTTCTACGAATCGAGTTAAACTTGTGACACGCACAACAACGAAGATAGTTATTTAGAAACGAAGTGATTAGCTCTACTGATCAAGTGGAGCAGACAGGCAAAGGTAACGAGTGCACGGCTACTCCTCCGCGCTGCGCATTCCATTCCATGGCCTGTTGCGTGCAGGTGCAGCTGGAAAGACGGAGACCCATACTGTAGCATACAAGCAGAAGAAAAAAAAAACAGTGGGGTGGGGAGAAGGAAAAGGCACGAGTCACTGCCGGCCGGTCACCCTGCACCTGCAGCAGGGAGCTAGGTGTGGCGGTAGCGCAGGCCGCAGGGTGTGCTTTCTATTTTCCCTCTTCAAAGCGGGGGGCTACGGGCTCACAGTGTGCCGTGCCGCCCAGCGAACCAAACGAGAGCAAACAAACCACCAAAGGCAGCGGGGGCAAAGGCGAGCAGGAAAGCCTTCCACTTCCATCAATTCAAAGGGTTCGCTGCTTGCTTGCTACCTTGTTCTTGTTGGCTTCTTCTTTGCGCGCGGTGAGGCTCTTGCTCCTTTCTTTCTTCCCCGATCTTCCTCCACTTTCTGTTTCGTTGTTGAGCACCGCTTCAGATAGATAGGGAGAGAGACTAGAGAGTGAGAGAGGGTGGCCAGCCGGCCGGCCGGCGTGGGTGTTCGAGAGGAGGGCCAGGGAGGCATGCTGGGGGCCGCCTCCTGAGTCCAGCAGCACTGCCATTGGAGGGGGAGACGGGAGGAGGAGAGAAGGACACCTGCAAGCCCACTGAGGTCTGCTAGTGGTAGCTCATTGCCCTCCCTCCCTCGCCAACCAAGCCACCGTCTTTTTGCCCAGTCCCAACACGAGCACGAGCGCGAGCAGAGGCAGCAGAGGGACAGCCGCATGTGCACGCGACCGGCGCATGCACACACTTGCGTGGCCGCATCTGGGGCGCACTCGCTCGTCTTCCCCGGGCGGAGTACGTTCTTGGGGTTGCGGGTGGGGCGGATCACGGCACCCACACCAGGGGTGAGGGGTGGCTCCATTGCTCGGGAAGGGGTGGACTCTTTTTCTCGGGGTGGGTCTCACACTGTTCCTCTTTCTCGGGTCATGCCTGATGCGGCCCTTCGCTTTGCCTTTGTTCTTGCGTGCCGTGTTGGCTACCCTCTTTTGTTGCCTTCCCTCTGGTCTGGTTTGCTATAAACCCTTGATGCGATGCCGCCCACATGCCCTCATGGCTCTCACATTGTGTAGTGCCTGCCCTGCATTGCCCGTTGATCGTTCCTGAGTCTTTTTATTATATTCCCTCGCCTCTGCTGCTGGCCTCTCCCCTCCCCACGTAGTATTAGTGTAGCGTGCGTCTCTCTTCCCTCGTCATTCTGATCGATCTCGGCCCAAAACTGCGAGATCTTGGCGTGCTGGTGATAAGATTCTTTCTCCCGCACAAGCGCAGAACCAGAGTGAGCAAGTGGTTCTTGGTCTCTCCGTTGCCTCCCCCGTATTGCATTTAAAATAGATGCTCGGTGTCTCCTGCCTGCCTCAACTTGCGCAGAGCGCCACTAACGTTTGTTTTTGCCGTTGTTGCCGCAGAGATCGTTGCGAGAGAGAGACGGAGAGATCATACTCGGGGAATGGTGTGGCGAGGAATGTGGACTAGTTTTCTCAGATCAAGAAGGACAAGCAAGTAACAAGTGAGCAGGGGGAGGTGGGGGTGTGTCAGCTTTGTGCTTTGTGGGTGTCCCTCCTCTTGTTCACTGCCCCTCTCTCCCTCCCACTCCGTATTGTTTACTTCTCCTGAGGTACTTGTGCTCCTCCCCTGCTTCTGGCCTCACTGCCTACGATAGCAGCAGCACCCGGCCGCATAAGTAGGTTGGGGGCTCAGGGCTGGAGTGTGCTTCAAGCAGGAGCTGCATCGGAACCGATCCCATTATTTGTTTGTTTTCGTTGTACGAGCGATCTCCTGGCCGGCTCCGGCACGTTGCAATATTCGGTCTTCTCGGCGCAGCACCAGCGACTTGTTCTTGTACTCTGCTTCTCTGCTGCCGCTCTGAGCCGTTTGCCGTTGCTGCTGTGGACAAGTATGGGATAGCGCTGCTGTGCTGCGCAGTTCTTGCTTGCTTCTTACAAGTGGTGGTGGTGGTGGTGATAGTGGTCTGGTCTCTGTGTGAGCTGAGCATTGGTCTAGAGGAGCGGGAAGATAGCTGTGCGGCTCTTCTTTCGTGTTCAAGATGAAGTTCATGAAGCTTGGATCGACTCCGGATACCTTTCAGGACGATGGGAATGAAGTCAGGTGATCCATCGCTTCTTTTGCTTTCTTTTACCTTGTTTCTTTAATGCTGCCTTTCAATTCTCATGTCGTTCTTAGAATCTCACTGGTTTTTTTTATGTCCATTATAAGCGATCTGAGTTATTGTGTTTTTGGTAGTTGGCACTGTGGGTTTATGCTTAAGTTTATTCTCTCAAAGTATTAAGTATTATTCGCCATGAAATCCAATACAGTTCTAATATTGTCATTGAGGTTTGCAATAAACCCTCGATGTCTGTTATATTTCTTTAGTTTATAGGCCCCCTGAGTGTTCATGCTATCCAAGATACACTATCAGCTATGCGTTCTTGTTGAATCCACTCAGATATTCCTATACAGACTTGCATGATGCATGTCCAATATGGTTTCCTTCGACCTTGGTTGGAGAGGAAACTTTATGCTTTTCTAGGTTCATATTAAGATACAGCTGCATGATACCAAAGAGGACCATACTTTCGGGAAAAAAACTAGTCATAACTACAGAAAGGAACAAATGGAAGAGGACCTCAAAGCGCGGAACTGATTTTAGGATGCTTCATTTAGAGTTCCGGGTCAACTTCCACCATATATTGGCTTATTCTTGTAGAAAATGTTCTTTTGCGTTAGCATTCTTTCTTTATTTATTGTTTTGACAAATGCTTGGTTGGATACTGCTTTTCAGTTCAGAAGCAGTATAGAATAGCATCCTCTGTTTAGAAAGCCAGATACTTTGCATCATATATACTAACAAATTACTATTACAAGAATGCAACTCGTTTTTTCCCCTGGTATTGTCTATAGAATATTAATGATTGATTTTTCATATAGCAATCAGTTGTACTACTGTATATACTGTATTTTATTTTATCAATTTAACCATGTCTCTCGTGGTGTACAATGTAAGCAATCCTAATGCTCATAGGTTCTCAAGAAAATCATATTTGAATACTAATCCAAAGTCTGTCTTTCAATTTGTCAGCATTAAGTGTTCTTTTTATATTCTTGTTATTTTCTGCTCCTCTACTAATGAGAACTGTTTATCCTTGCAGTATTGCAGCATCTGAATTGGTGAGCGACGTCACTGTTCGTATAGGGACTACAAAGTTTTACCTTCACAAGGTAAGTGACATGTTATTTTCATTCATATGACAGTGCTGCTTTGTGAGACTATAGTACAAAGTACATGTGCTGTTGGAGATCATGTTTTTTTCATGTGGTTTGGTTTTATATTTTCTTACCAGAGTTATCTCTGTGCTGAAGATTCTTGTTGGCCCTTGATTAACTTATTTTTTTATATATATATGTCATTTGATTGTTATTTTCTCGGGTTTTACATCCAAGCGAATTAATTGATTTCTTGGTCTCGTTATGCATTGCGCAATCACTTGAGTGTGCATATCTATCACTGTTATTCTGATCTGCATTTTCGAATCATGCAGTTTCCGCTCCTATCCAAGTGTGCTCGCTTTCAGAAGTTGATTCCAACTACTGGTGATGAAAATATTGAGATCCACATCCATGATATTCCTGGTGGTGCAAAGGCTTTTGAGATCTGTGCCAAGTTTTGCTATGGCATGATTGCCACACTCAATGCCTACAATGTGATTGCAGCCCGCTGTGCTGCAGAGTACTTGGAGATGAATGAGACTGTTGACAAGGGCAATCTGATCTACAAGATTGATATCTTCCTCAGCTCAAGCATATTCCGGAGCTGGAAAGACTCTATTATTGTTCTTGGTACAACAAAGGCTCATTTACCTTGGGCAGAGGAACTTAAGCTGGTTAGCCACTGCATTGACTCTGTTGCTTCAAAAGCCTCTATTGATGTTTCAAAAGTTGAATGGTCTTACACATACAATCGTAAGAAGCTCCCAACTGAGAATGGCCATGATTCGCCATGGAATGGAATCAAGCAGCAGCAGTTTGTTCCGAAGGATTGGTGGGTCGAAGATCTGACAGATCTTGACATTGATGCCTACAAGCAAGTCATAACAGCAATCAAAACCAAGGGTATGGTCCCCAAGGATGTGATCGGTGAGGCAATTAAAGTCTACACTTACAAGAAGCTTCCATCACTAAGCAAGGTCTCAATGATCCATGGCGATGCAAAAGTTCGGGCTATGCTAGTTACCATCACATGCCTGTTGCCATCTGAGAAAGGTTCAGTTTCATGCAGCTTCCTCTTAAAGCTACTGAAGGCAACAAATTTGCTGAAGTGTGGAGAGATGTGCAGGAAAGAGCTTATGAAGCGCATTGCACGGCAATTGGAAGAAGCATCAATGTCAGATCTTCTGATCCCTACAGTGGATGGGGATACCACTGTTTACGACATTGACCTGATTCTTAGCATTGTTGAAGAATTTGTCAGACAAGATAGTAAGAATGCCCAGAGACACAATGGTGGTGAAGTGAATGACCATGTATCAGCTCCTAGTGCATCAATGATTACAGTGGCCAAAATTGTTGATGGATATCTCGCAGAGGTTGCAAAGGACCCAAATATACCGGTCTACAAGTTCTTCAGTCTAGCTGAGACAGTTTCGGCCAATTCAAGGCCGGTGCATGATGGGCTCTATCGCGCCATTGATATGTACCTGAAGGTATTGCTACCACTTGCAAGTTGCAATCCATTGCGGAATTTCTTCGTCGTAGTTCAAGAAATTATTTCATATACATTGCTGTTACTAGTATTTCATGGGGATTGAGATATATACATTCCATTTCTCTTGATTATAGAAGACTCTGTGAGTTGACATAGTTCTCTTAAATTTTATGCAGGAGCACCCAGGCTTGGGCAAGAGCGATAAGAAGAGGCTCTGTGCTCTCATGGACTGCAAGAAGTTGTCGCCCGATGCATGCGCTCATGCCGTGCAGAACGAGCGCCTGCCTCTGAGGATTGTGGTGCAGGTGCTGTACCACGAGCAGACAAGGGCTTCTGCAGCAGCCACCATCCGAGCTGACAGCATCGGCATCGGCTCCTACGAGAGCTCAAGGTCAGGGGCCACAACAAACACAGAAGACGAGTGGGACGGCGTCATGGCCGTGGAAGACCTCAGTCTGTCCAAGACCACGAAGCTAGACAAATGTGACACAGCCAGCACCGTGGTGGAGAAGAACCACGGTGGCAACAAGGGTGCCAACGGCAGGGTGAAAGGTGGCGCGACGTCAAAGAAGGCGCTCGGGAAGATGATGTCAAGCAAAGGGCAGGCTGGGGAGCGCAGCAGCTCGGATTCATCCGACAGCGCCATCTTGCCGAGCCAGGAGCATCCCAAGAGGACCCCCGCAAGGAGTACCACCAAGTCAGCTGCCGCTTAGCTGCAGCCCGCCTTTGCGGAGTGAAATGGTCAAGGAGCACTAGGTTTTAGCAGTCGTCTGTTCTTTGTTATGAATGTTGCATAGAAGCAAGGACCATGTTTTTACACGTCTGTAGGGATGGTATAATGCCAGGTACGTACGTTGTTAGGTGATGTTGTTAGCATGTAGGCTCGCCATGAAACCTATGAGACCTTTGGGCTCTGCTGTGAGGGTTTATGTCTGAACTCGGAGTAGTGTTATAAGATGCCTACTTTGTTAGAGTTGAAGCATAACTGTTCTGCAGACTGCAGCTGTGAATTCTTGGTGTTTTGTTGTGAGATCTGTTAGATCGTTTGAACACATCATCTGATCACAATGACTTGTAGGCTTGTAGCCGAACATGTTCATCCTGAGCAAGGGTAACCTTTGCTGACATGGAAAGCCATCAGATCGACGCCTGAACTTGAACTATGTGTCCCAAATCACCTGGCCCCGTTCGACTTACCCCATATTCGGCTTGTTCGGCTTCTTTTTTCAGCTAGAACAGTATTTTTCTCTCACAACAATTCAGCCAGAAAAGTATTTTTCAGTCAGTTTCAGTCAAAATTCTGCCAACCGAATGGGGACGGTATCTTATCCAGGCACCAACGCAAGTACCCTGTACCCGGGTCATCTCACTAGCATAGTAGCATTGCCGCATATTATAGCTGAATAGATGCAAAATGAACTACCCAGGTCATCTCACTAGCATAGTAGCATTGCCGCACATTATAGCTGAATAGATGCAAAATGAACGAGGTGGTGCATCTATGCTTGCCATATGATCATCAAAAGGGTAAGCTTGTGCCGGAAGCTTGTAGCCGGAAATGGCACTTGGGCATCTGCTAATTTGAACGGTTCATATCAGCCCAGCCCACTCGGGTAACCTGGCTCAAATCCATGCTGGGTGATGGCAAATTGGACATGCCAGCACCAAAGCTCAGACCATGAGAACTTCAGAAGATCTGAATGCTTGGACGGAAACACAGCCCTTCGCTACAGCTACAGAATATCTGCCACTCCGAGACAGAGCTAACCTGCAGTGTGCACCATGAAGTTACACGGAACAAGATACCAGCAGGACAACTGGACAATGTTCAATCACCGGTCGCCAACCAGAACCTTGTTCTCGTGTCTGACTCTGATCCAAACATGTCACGTACCAGGAAAAGTGCGAGAAGCAACGGCCGCTTGTGTTGCAGGGACGGCGACTCGCTCGCGCATGACGCGGCGTACGTGGCTGAGGCACGCGGCATTTGCCGGGACGGACGGGTTCAGGGTCAAACAGGCCGCCCTTCTCGTCGCCGGCTTTGACAGCGGCCCTCCGCCCTTGGTTCAAGAGTAAAAGAGACGGGCCTGCAGTCAAACAGAGGAGACTGAGTTCATTGGTGCCTCGGGTCTCTGGGGCGTGGGCCACGGCAAGATTCGCGCAGCTGGGGGCAGGCGACCAGGCGTAGTACAGGTACAGCCTAGCGAGCTACTGTTACCCCTGCCTAGCCACGCGAAGTGGCCAACCAAACCAAAGCCCTTGTTTAGTCGTAAGAATTTGGATTTTGGGGCTACTGTACCACGTTCGTTTTTATTTGATAAATATTGTTCAAACATGGACTAATTAGGCTCAAAATGTTCGTCTCGTAATTTCCCACCAAACTGTGCAATTAGTTTATCTTTTCGTCTATATTTAATGCTCCATGTACGGACCGCAAACATTCGATATGACACATACTGTAACAACTTTTTGTAAATTGGGGTAGAACTAAACACGCTGAAAGTGTCCAAGTGGGCACGGCGGACCTGCCTCTTGTCGTCGGAGAACGGCGTGGCTCCATGCTCCGGGGACAGACAGGAGGAAAGGTCGTGAGGATTGTCTCATCGCTGTCGAGACACTGGGGCCGTCCTCCCCTACCTGTCGAGTCAACGCGACGTGTCTCCGCGTCCAGTGCCATGTTCGTTCGGTGGATAAGCTACGTTGAAAATACTGTTTAGTTTTTGAGTGAAAAATACAGCTTATAAGCCAAGCAAACTAGACACAATTCATCGGGATGCGAGGCTAATGTTAAAAAAAAGACAAAATAGGCATTTTGATCGTTAAACTATTACTCAAGGCTTAATTTCATTCCTAAACTTTCAAAACGACCGTTTTAGTCCTCAAATTATACTTTTAGGCTCAATTTCACCCTATAACTATAAAGATGATCGTTTCAGTTCTCAAACTTTGTATTTTAAGCTCAGTTTTACCCATAAACTATCAAAATACATTTTGGTCTTTAAACATTTATTTTCAACTCAACTTTATCTATCCAAAAATAAAACTTTATACTTTGGACATAATTTTATCTATGAATTATCAAAATGCATTTTGGCTCAACTTTGTTGTTTGTCGAGCACCACCCGCGATTTGAGATGGACAGTCATTGTTAGGTACTATTGTCCCTAGCGTCATCCTATGTACCAAATCAGATAGCACACTTTTAATATTTATATTTATATTCTAAGATAAATATAAATATATATCTAAATATTCTTAAATATGAATTATTTTTAGCTTATGGATAAAAATATTATTTTACACACAAATGGTTATTAGTTGAGCTTAACTCTAGTAGGATGATAAAAAAAAGTTGAGTTGAAAATAAAATTTTGTAGACTGAAATTCATTTTAATAGTTTATGGATGAAATTGAGCCTAAAATGCAAAGTTTGAGGACTGAAACGATTATCTTCGTAGTTCTGGGATGAAATTGAGCCTAAAAGTAAAGTTTGAGGACTAATATGACCGTTTTGAAAGTTCAGGAATGAAACTGAGCCTCGAGTAATAGTTCAGGACTATTATGCATTAAAAAACAGTTAGCTTCACATAGTCACATCGCATCACATGGTGGTGAGGTACGGCTTGGAGCTACAGCAAGGGACCTGCATGGCGCGTGCTGATCCACGTCCAAACGACCAAACCAACTTGCCGAATATAGCCGCGTGACGGACTCGATGAACAACGGACAGTGCCGGCGCCGGCGACGGCAGTCGACAGGGCTGATGAGATCTCTGTACAAGGAGTTTGCTTCGGATGCTGGCTGAGCTCAACCACTCGCCGTTTCATAAAAGATAAAAGGTTGTGTGGATGCACTTGTATTTACGTCAATTCAAATGTTTGGATTGGATTGCAGTAAAAATTAATCTATTTTCCACCCTAATATATATGAATTAGGAACGTAAGTTATTCAACCTACACCGTAACATGCTACCGTTTCTGCCCAGAGATGGAAAAGAAAATGGCACTGTACATTTGTACCCTTCTTTACAAATGGTATTAGTTGGCCTATAAAAACTTTGGCACTATGAAGTTAGATGTCGCATTTTTTATATAAATCAGGTGGTGATGCCCAGTTATAGTATATTAAATAAACCGAGGAGTCAACTATCAATATTAGGGCATGTTTGGTTACACCTCCTAAAAATTTTAGGAGCTAAAATCTGGATAGAATCTGTCTAAAGAACCAAACACTACCTCCTAAAACCTCCTAAAAGTTTTAAGAGCCTGGTTTTTCTTTAGTAGCTTCACCCCCTCCTAAAACCTCCTAAAGTCCTTCCTGGACCCCCAGTACCCCTCATTTATTGCCCCCTCCCTCTCTCTGTCCCACCCTCCCTCCCTCCCGCGCCTCCATCCTCTCTCTCTCTCTCTCTTCCTCCCTCCCTCTCTTTCCACCCGGCGCACCCCCATCGCCCCCATTCCCGCCGCCGCCAGATCCGCCCTCCTCGCCGGCGTCCGAGGTCACACAGCGCCGTCCGCGCCCTCCCCCTCTGGTCCGCCGCCGGATCCGCCATTTTTCGCACCCAAGAACCAACGGACGGACGCTCCCCCGCTGCAACATCGACGCTGCCCGTGCCCTCCCCCGCCGCCCAGCGCGATTCACACCAGCGGCGCCCAGGAAGGCAGCACGCCAGCAACACCAGAGGTGAGGCTCCGGATCCTTCGCCTCCCGATCTCTTGGTTTGCCGCCTGCCCGATCCCAACTCTGTATCCATCGATCTATTTTTGTGCGCAGGTTCCTTCCCCGTGCCATTCCCCACCGCCGGCCGTGCCCTCCCCCAACCCAGCCACGCGCGTGCCCCTGGACAAGTACGGTTACAGAGACTTCCTATCCCAAGGTTCTTCCTCCGTTGCAGGCAGTACCCACTAAACTCCGGAAGATGCGGACGAAGACGACTTCGGCCCGTTCCTTTCGCAGCCGGCCCCCTCCCTGTCCGCTCCCCGCCGCCACATGGAGCATTTGGATCTCAATTCACAGGCGGACGTCTTCCCCAGCATTGACTCATATCAAGCCATTCTACAGGCTGATGAGCATCCACTACCTCCTCGGGCCCCTAGAGGCAGAGTCCGAGCACCTGATGGCGTAGGTCGTGGTACAGGTAGAGGTTTGCTTGGAGGCAAAGTTGGTTTTGGACGTGGGCGAGGCAAAGGTTTGCTTCGAGGGAGTATTGGCAGTCGCGGTGTAGGACATTTAGGAGGAGGACCTGGTGCATCTTCCTCTGCAGGCCATGGCTTTCACAATCCAGTGGATGTAGATGCCGGTGACGAAGAAGACGACGTGCCATCTAAAACACAGTCTCAGGTAATTGCCTATACATGGTCAATGCTTCTCTTCTTATGTGTGAAATGTATGGTTGCCATATGGAAGTGAAATGTATGTTTTGTACCTGTGGATGTAGATAGTGAGTTGTGATAATTAGTTATGTACTTGTGCATGCATTATGTTTCCAGTACGATATTTGTTTCTGTGGATAAATATGAACACTCTAAGGATAGCATTTGAGAGATGTGGAATGTAGTATATGTTCCTTTCTTGAAAATAAGGATAGCATTTGATGATGTGTGTAATTGATGTCGTGTGCGAATGATGCTGTGTGTTAATGCCGTGTGCTAATGAAGCTGATTTCTGAGTTGTATTATTGATCTATGCTGTGTGTACTTTATACTTGACGTGT